CTGCGTGAGTGTATGCACGCTGTAAAATTCAGCACTAGAGCCTTTTTTGAGAAGTGGTCATTTTAAAACTGAAGCTGCAGGTGCACACACTCATTAACCAGCGATGAGTTTCCTGTCTGTTGTTTCACTTCTGCTTGGGCTCTTATATTAGACTTGCACATGAACCGCTGTGTGGCTGAAGTGATCGTGTGGCTTTTGTCACATTTATTCAAGGCTAGTTATATGCGCAAAGACCTCATTAGACTGCTTTTTTTTTGGTAAATCATAAACCAGTGCATGTCATGGGGATTTCGCCCATGTTTTCAGTCTGTTTTGACATTTCGTCTGTTTTTATAACCTTTAAGCTTTTATGGCAGTTGAAAAGGATGGCTTGGTCAATCTAATAATAACAGCATTGGATGGGTTTGCAGGCTTTGTTTCCATTTTGTCTGTTTTTCTCTCCCTCACAGGTTCAAGACAGGACAGATTAATGGGGACTTACTCATATACCACGTCCTTCTCACCCTCAAACCATACTACGCCAAACCATATGAGCTAGTAGTGGACTTGACGCATGCTGGTCCGAGCAACCGCTTCAAGACCGACTTCCTCTCCAAATGGTTTGTTGTTTTTCCAGGATTTGCTTACGAGAATGTGGCCACCATCTACATCTATAACTGTAACACATGGGTACGAGAATACACCAAGTACCATGAGAGACTGCTGACAGGCCTCAAAGGCAGCAAGAAGTTACTGTTCATTGACTCGCCCTCACGGCTGGCTGAGTATGTGGAACCAGAGCAACAGAAGCTTCCGGCAGCTACTCTTGCACTGGAAGAAGACCTGAAGGTCTTTCACAATGCCCTAAAACTGGCCCATAAAGACACCAAAGTGTCCATTAAGGTGTGTGAAAAAAGATGAACACCTCTTCTTACAGCTCGGTTTCACTTTTTTTGTTTTGTCGCAATATGTCTGATTCTGTCTTTGCTCCAGGTGGGCAGTACGGCAGTGCAGGTGACCTCAGCCGAACGAACACGAGTCTTGGGTCAGTCTGTCTTCCTCAACGACATCTACTATGCTTCAGAGATTGAGGAGATCTGCCTAGTGGATGAAAATCAGTTCACGCTGACCATTGCTAACCAGGGCACGCCGTTGACCTTCATGCACCAGGAGTGTGAGAGCATAGTTCACTCCATTATCCACATTCGTACGCGTTGGGAGCTCTCTCAGCCCGACTCCATCCCCCAGCACACCAAGATCAGGCCCAAAGACGTTCCGGGGACCCTTCTCAACATCGCCCTCCTCAACCTGGGAAGCTCTGACCCCAGTTTAAGGTGATCAGTCATCTAAAGCCATCATACGTATTTATATCAACACTGGTGTATTAATTTCTGAATATTTCTGTCTCTGTTTTGTTTAAAGGTCTGCAGCTTACAACCTCCTGTGTGCCTTAACTTGCACCTTTAACCTAAAGATTGAAGGCCAACTGCTGGAAACCTCTGGCCTCTGCATCCCTGCCAATAATACCCTCTTCATCGTGTCCATTAGCAAGACTCTAGCAGCTAATGAGCCTCACCTGACCCTGGAGTTCCTGGAGGAGTGTATCTCTGGCTTCAGCAAGTCCAGTTAGTGCCCCATTAAGCCCTCAATTAAACTCTCAAAAGACTCTTGAGGTGCTCTAGCCATTTCAGATCATTAATCGCATTCTCAGTTTTGACTTGAAGGCCTCCTAGGAAGTTCCTACTTAAAACTGCTATTAGAAGGCATCATTAGTCCACAAATGTTCATATTGATTGTGTATTTGCTAAAAATAAAGGTTCCAAAATGGTGTTTTTGCAGCAATGCCATAGATAGAAGAACCATTATTGGTTCCTCAAAGAACCTTTCAATCAATAGTTCTTAACCATTTTATTGGTAGTGTAAAGAACACTTTAAAAACCTGAAGAAACTTTTTCCATAATAAAGAACTGAAAGGTTCCATGAATGTTTAAGGTTCTTCAAGGAACCATAGATGCCAATAAAGAACCGTTATTTTTAAGAGAGTTTCTCTAGAGATAAGAATATGGAGTTAAGAAGTGTTCTGGTAACCAGTAACTTTCCTCTGTGTATTCAGGCATAGAACTAAAGCACCTGTGTTTGGAGTACATGACTCCCTGGCTGCTGAACCTGGTACGCTTCTGCAAGCACAGCGACGATGCCAAGCGCCAACGAGTCACTGCCATTCTGGACAAACTCATTACCATGACAATCAACGAAAAGCAGATGTATCCATCCATTCAGGCCAAGATCTGGGGAAGCCTGGGACAGGTAACGGAACTGAATTGTATTAATGTGGCACATGCATTGAAGGCATCTTATTTTGGGTTTTGCTGAGGGGTGTTTAGGCTTATGAAGAACTGCATAATGAAACCATGTAAATAATGCATTGCTATTTGCAGTTTTTTCAGTCGTATTTATGTAGCACTCACTTCCTTAAAGATTTATGCTTACAGTTTATAGAGCGTGTCTGTTGAGCTGATGGCAACTTCCTGTGTCTACAGATAACAGATCTACTTGATGTAGTTCTGGATAGTTTTATTAAAACCAGTGCAACTGGAGGTCTCGGATCCATCAAAGCTGAAGTGATGGCAGACACAGCAGTGGCTTTGGCCTCTGGTAACGTCAAACTGGTGTCTAGCAAGGTGACGTACATACACACACAGACACACTTTGTAAGTTCAGCTTTTAGAAGACTGTTTTTTTTTCTACATTTAGACCAGAAATAAACTTGAACAGGCTGAGATCCAAATTTTAAGAATGTTTATGAACATGTAAAAAGCAACGCAAAAAGAAGTTACGTGATGTGATGCTGTAACAACAGCTCTAATTATAGAAGCCCCGTGTGAGAATCAGATGTGGTTTGGTTGGTTTCTTTCTCTCTCGCTGTTGTTCTTACTCTCTTTAACCACCTTATCTGTTTCTATTTCTCTCACTTTGTCATGAGAGATAGTGATCATGGACTTTTGGTTGGTTCATTGTGCTCAGCTGGGTTCTGTGAACTAGACAAACTTAAC